TAAATAATATTATTCATAATAAAGCAAAATGATATTTATATATTATTTATATATTACTTACAATATTTATATATTACTTTCTTAGAACCAGTCACTCTTCTAAATATTTTATGTTTTTAATTTTAATTTTCATAATCAACACAATAAATTATAAATGTTCAGTTGTGTGATTATACTGAAATTTTAACTAGACTTTATTTTACTACATTTAAACAGAGCTAAAAGTTTAAAAATTTCTCATATTCTAAGCCTGTATTTTCTATCATTTATTCTTCTTTTGACACTATATAAATTAACTGTCAATTAAGAATTATAAACTATTAATTTAAACTGTTTATCAAATAATGAATTTGGGAGAAATTATTGATATAACAATAGCAGAAGGAATAAACTAGAAACAATTGGCTAATTGAGTAATATGCATCAAGAACAACTATACACATTTATTATGGGATACAAATAAAAACATTTAAAATTCTTTGCCTAAATAACTTTTATACTACATTTTTTATAAAGAAAATTTGTCAGAAACTTTGCCCTCTGGTTTAGGCTAGAGGCAAAAACAAATTGTTTTCCACAGGAACATGAAGTGACGCAAAAGCCAAATATATCTGTAAGTCTTTACAAATAGCCAAATCAATCTAAAAAGCCCCAAACATTCATTCACCCTTCCAGAATCATTGAACAGGTCTACCCAGCAAATGTTTTAAGAAAGAGAGAGCCAACCTGAAAAACAGGAATGGTAGCATTCATGTTATAACATACTATGAAAAACAATGACATATCTCTGTGGATGAGTAACGTAATCTCTGAGGAATTAAACTGAGATAGATAGATGATAGATGAGTAGCTGATTTCCATAGATACTGGAAATTTGTGTATATTGTTTCTTGGACTATCAAAAGTAGGTCAGCTCTTAGTCAACCAGAAAATATACAGGATTGGGAATAATTTTGTTACTTGGATATATTATAAGATGAAAATATAGAAAGAGTATTATCTACTAATGCTCAATAAAGTATTGACAGAGGTCTTCTAAGTAAGATTCAATTTCCAAGAAATGTCAAATATTAAAATTCACTGCTTTGTAATTTTATACAGTAAAGTTCTCTAAATTTTATCTCTGAAGTACCTATAATGTTTAACTGAAGAGGTATTAATTTAAGCTTTATAAACATTCCAAATTCATATGCGTTTGTCATTATTTGCATTATTTTTTATACAGTTTGTCTTTTTCAAAAAGTTAGAGTACAGAGAAAATAGGAAATCGAATATTTTTTACAACATAATATTTTTGTTCAATTATGAAAGAAAACTTGCTAAAATCAAAATCATTGCTCTAAAACCAGAGGGAGGCAAGTGATTGCTCTAAAGATTGTTGATAATTAGGACCAAAAGTAGTTCCCAGTCTCTTTCAGTCATTCAGTTTTTTGTTTTTTATTTTGTTTGGGATATGTGTGTGCGCGTGCTTGCGTGTATTTTGCATCTTGCTTCTTTAGCTTTATTTCTTAACGATCAGACAATATCTTATAAGTAAATATGCAACATGGAAGAACTCTAGCATTTTTAATATCCTTGAATATGGTCCTTCAAGGCATAATCCTTTATAAAGAAGGACAGCTACCAATTCAAGGCACTGAAACTTCATATTTATATTAGGATAATTTTTCACGGTTTCTCTTGGTTAAATGATTGATAGAATTTCAATCCTTAACCTAATTTAGAGCTTTATACATGATAAAATAAAATTTCCTATATTAATAACTCTTAATAAGTCACAAAATACTGTGGAGAAATATCAGATGAGTACTAAATAAATAACCCAGTATTCTTATAAAGCTGAACTGTTTGAAGAAAACATAACTAAATATTTGGGTTCTGAACCTGTTCAAAATTCAACTTTACAGCTCCCAAAAGTTATCACATATGCTAATGTTTTTCCATTTTCTCATTTTGCATGGAAAATAAAAAGAAATAATTGCCAAAGTTATTTGACTGCAGTTTCATAGTGATCAATGCTGATTTTCAGAGTGTATAAAGAAAGGACAAGTGGATAAAAATTAAGGAAATAGTAAAGTTCAGCTTTGAGAGAAAGAATTTAAACTGAAATTTAAATTGACATTGGAAATGCTTTTCTTTTTATTAGACAAAAAGGTAATAGTATGACTATTCAGAGATTAAGATCAATACAATGCATTTGCAAATTTAATGATATATCTAGAAAAATAGAATCCCTGAGAAAATGTCATCAGAAATTATCTCTAAACTATTTCTCTTATTTTTTTGGAATCTTCAGTTAAACATGCCGAGTAATAAGAATGCTCTACCTTTCAGAGCATCTCATATGTAGTTTTGACTAGGTTTGCATTTTAGAAAATGTACCCTTAAAATTAGTTAACTGTGCCTATGATTTCTCTCCACTGCTGCTTTAGTCTTTTTTTCTTTGCTGAACGAACACCAGTGTCAGTTCTGCTTTACATGGATGTGAAGTCAGACAAAAATGGAAAGCTAGAGTCTCATCTCAACCATGGGTCCAATTTCA